ATGGCAATGGACCGACCTGCACAAGGAAGCCTTCGAACTCTGCAAAACAGTTCTAACCAATGCCCCAGTACGAGGATATGCCATGCAAGGAAAACCGTATCGTGTTTACTCGGACGCCTGTGACTACGGAGTTGCTGGGATCTTGCAGCAAGTTCAACCGATGAAAATCCGAGATTTGCAGGGGACAAAAGCATATGAACGGCTCAAGAAAGCGTTCGATGCAAAGGAACCAATACCACAGTTGGTCAATACAATTAAGGGGTTTGACGACGTTCCAGAGGCAGGCAATTGGGCATCAATATTCGAGGACACGACAGTCTACGTCGAACGCGTAATCGCATACTGGTCACGAATTCTGAAATCACCAGAAAGGAACTATTCTCCAACCGAACGCGAAGCACTTGCCTTAAAGGAAGCATTGATCAAGTTCCAAGTCTTCCTGGAGGGTGAAAAAATTGCTGCAATCACGGACCATGCAGCATTGACCTGGAGTCGAACATTTCAGAATGTGAATCGCCGTCTCCTGACGTGGGGAACCGTGTTCGCGGCCTACCCGGATCTTCAAATTATTCATCGGGCTGGACGTGTACACTCGAATGTGGACCCAGTGTCTCGACTGCGCCGTCGCGTCCCAGTTCAAATTGGTCCGGAGTCAGACGAGACACCGCTACTACCATTGTCAACTTGTGATCCATTACGGAACATGTACGACGAATTGGGACCAAGATTCGAGGAACGATTGCTAGCAGTTGCAGACAAAAACACCAAGCAGTTGGAAGACCCTGAGGAATTGGACATCATTCATACGGATCTGAGTGGCGACGAAGATAAACTGACAGGACATGATGTTGGAATTTCTTCGCGGACCTACAACATCCTCGTTAGCTTGCCATCTGAGGAAAAATCTGAATGGCTCAAGGCGTACAAGGAGGACAAGCACTTTTCCAACGTTTTGCAAGCGTGGAAAAAGGAGGATGATTGGAATAAACCTTCTTTTCCGCAGTACCAGCTGGCAGATGATGGACTCCTCTACTTTGAAGATTGGAACGGGAACAACCGACTCTGTGTACCGGAGAGTCTGCGCGGAAAAATTATAGCGGACATTCACGATGGTCTAACTGAAGGTGCTCACGCAGGATACCATCGGACATACAATCGAATCGCTTCAACGTACTACTGGCCACGCATGTCACGAACCATCAAGGAGTACTCATGTACTTGCGACATTTGCCAGAAGACTAAGCCTAGGAAACATGCTCCTTTCGGCTTACTCCAGCCTATTCCAATTCCCTCACAGCCATTCGAGGTCGTGTCAATGGACTTTATCACCGAACTCCCGGAATCGGAAGGATGCGACGCAATCCTTGTCATTGTCTGCAAGCTTACAAAATATGGAATCCTAATACCTTGCCGCACCAAGATTGACGAGCTCGAGACTGCAAAACTGTTCTGGGAACACGTGGTTACAGACTATGGATTGCCTCTTCAAATTATTTCTGACAGAGATTCACGTTGGCGGCATTTATTCTGGGAGGAGTTGACGCGACTAATGGGTTCAAAACGGGCTTTGACGACGTCTTATCATCCACAAGCTGATGGTCAAACAGAAATCTTGAATCAATTCATCGAAACGGCGTTGCGTGCATTTATTGGTGCAAAGTCTGAGTGGAAAAAATTTATCTCACCACTCGCACTTTCCTATAATACAACACCTCATTCAAGTTCTGGCTTTTCACCGGCTTTTCTGTTGCGAGGATTCCAACCCAGGACGGAAACATTGTTAACTGGGATGCAACCTGTGAACCGAGCACTCGACGCTGGGGGGGATGACGTCACACCGGGGTCGCAAGACCACTCCCAAGTTGAGCACACAACCGTCGACTCTCGGCCCATCGCAGACCCGCGCGCGGGCTCAATGATTGAAGAATTCGAGGCACTTCGTTCTCGTGCCAAAGAATCATTACTTCTTGCTCAAGTATTTCAACGCCGCGCTTATAACAAGGGTCGACTTGCCAAGGAATTTGAAGAAGGAGATCTGGTGGTCATTAATCCGCACTCTCTCAAGCTTCTGCGCGACGAAAAGGGACGAGGAAAAAAGCTTTCACTCAAGTATGACGGACCATTTCAGATAAGTGCAAAGCTCAGCCCTGTAACTTATCGCTTGCGACTTCCTGTCTCATATGGCATTCATCCTATCATCAACATTGCCCACCTGGAACCTTACAACACCTCACCACCTGAACTAGGCAACCGGCCTGCAAAATCCCTCCATCGAGACGACTTCGACAAATTGCCGGAAGTGGAAATCGAGCGAATTCTCGCCGAAAGGTGGAGAAAGATCCGCGGTCGCCGCGTTCAACAGTTCAAGGTGCGATGGAAAGGTTTCGGCCTCGAGGACGACGAGTGGTTGACCAAGCGCGGCCTGCGCAACGCCCCTGAGGTCTTGACAAGATGGATCGATCAAGGCCGAGTTGACTTAGAAACCGACTCGGCGGGGAACATGAGCCCCTAAATTCGACTGCTTTTATACCCCGCTGTTCGCCATTTTCTCTCATTTGCTATCTGCTCCGCTCTTTCATCGAACGTTTACACTCTACCCATCTATCCCTTCTACTATCCATGGCTTTCGTCTGCGACGACAAGTGCTTCCCTGACCCCTATTTCACTCCGGCCGACGTGACAATCACCCCTGAAGGAAAGACCGTCATCGACATCTCCTCCGACGACGCTCCCGCCGACCGCAGCGACGACAGTTACGAGGGTCCAGCAGAAGATGAAGTCTACATTCCTCCCCCGTATACCGGTCCCCGCGCCCCTTGTCCAGTCCCGCGAATTCCGCACACCATCGCGCGCGTGATATCGCGAATTTTCCAAGCCGCACGCGACGCCCTTCTGATATCGTTGCTGGGTCTTTTCATTTCGGGTACCGAACTCGAGCGAGATTACGCCCGACCCCGGAACATTTGCGAGCGACTACCCAACGGAATGTTTGTTCTTCGACGCCCCGCTCGGCTGTTTCTCGAACAACGGCTCATCTCTTGCGCTGGATTGATCGCCACGGCTCTGAACCACTATCCTGTTGGTTTGCATGGTTTCATCCCTGAGGACGTGCCGGTTACAGTTCCGCGTCCAGCGCTCGACGAGGTTCAAGTGCCGTTCCCAGTCATCCTTGTCTTTTTGTCCCGGGAATGGACTCTCACAGAGCGATCATTCGAGTCGATGACAGAGGCCGAGGAACATGCGAAGGATATCTTGTTGGTGTTACGCTACGGCATCGCATTCTTTGGGAAAATCATGCTCAGAACGATGGAGGGAGGGCCCAATTCGGTCTGTAATCCGGGCGCCGGCCTCCAAGTTTCGCAGGACGAATTCCTTGAGCGATCTGGTTTACTAGACGACAGGGCTCGCGAAACCAAGGGGGTACTGTTTTTAAATTTTTGGAACATATGCCGGTTTTTATTTTTTGGCCGGTTTCGGTCAACCAACCAACCACGTGACGTCCATATATGGTAATATTTCACGTGGTCATGCCGCCATGTCCGTATATAATGATTTTTTTTCAGAAAGAGACCTTTGTCTAGTCCAGAAATAACACTTCGCTGGCTAGATTTAAGATTCAAACTATATTCCACATGAGTAATTGTCCCAGACGCCTGACAATTTTGAGTATGGATGTGAGTCCTCACCAAGTTCAGGATTCCGGCGGTGCCATAGCTGCACAGCTCGCTGCACTTGGGGTAGCTTTACTGGCGGTATGCTAGTCTCTGTAACAGACTTCGATATTTATGACTTGCATGGTATGCGTGTCTTTCTGCCAGAGAGTGTCCAAGTCGTCAGCCGTGGAAGCCTATAAATGATCAGTGAGCGAGCCTCCAGAATCCATCGGAGCGCTGGAGTGTCATGGATAATTTTTTGCTTGATTTCCATGTGATTGCAGAATTGTTTGCGCATGATGTGCTGCGATCAAAGGCCAAATGTGCTCATTGACTAAGCCAGTGCATATAAATGTCTCAAATCAAAGGTCTGTAAAGCATTTGGGACATAAAGAAGGCTGTAAATGTCCTTCAGACCGCTCTCTGGCACCTAGGAAAATAAGTACTGGGGAAAAAAAAGTGGCCCTCACGGCCCAACCAACCACCCGGCACCCCTTCCGGCATTCACGGACCGGCACCCCCTTGCGCGAAACTCTCACATGGCTCGACGGCACCGTGATCGACAAAGCCCACATTCAAGCTGCGGATGACGCGTGCGCTCGAGTATATTCAGAGCAAACATTTTCCACCTTTATCACCGTCGAACTTGATCACAAGGTCGCTCTCGTCCCACGCGTCACGACGGGCTATGTCCACGAAGGAAGAACTTCCCGCGCTCATTTCACCCCGGCGAACTTCGGTCAAGAGCTAGCGCTCCTCGGGTATTAGCACGCTCGTCGAGTGGGGGGGATCTTGTGATGGATATTATCATATTCGGCTTACTCGGCGACCGTGCGTACTCTCCGCTGATTTCTTACACTATCTCTTCCCTAGTTACCAAATGCCCGGGTGCCCGTGGACATGAAACGAGACGGCGTCTCGTTCCCTTTTCTTACTCATTCATATATTTCATATTTCACGTTCCCTTAGTTACGTGTATATAGCTGCGGGTACTAGCAAAAATACACACTTTTACTCTTGCCAACTCCCTGCTGCCAACGCGCCCTCTGCGACTGCTTAACCGCCTCGCACTCGACTCGAAACTGAGCTAAAGTTTCGCACTAGCTTACCTTTCAGTCACCCTGAACTTAGGCTAAAGTCTCGCACTAGCCTATAGTTCAGTTTATCGAACCTACGGAATCCTGTACGCCCACGGCTACTCGGCTTCGTCGGTTCTCGCGCTTGCACAAGGAATTGTAACACGAGTTCTAGTGAACTACGAACAATTCATAATAGACCCAAATCTATTACACTTACAGTATGTGATGGATATCACGTTGTCTTCACATAATCTCCAATTGCCGTAACGGGTCTGTAGTGTAATGGTAACACACCGGAAAAGCTGAGTTCAAATCCAGCCTGATCCAGAGGTCACGGGTTCGAACCCCCTCTTGTGCAATACTTTTACTTACTGATTACCAATCAATGAGATCACGTGAAAGGTCACACGGGAATGGTTGCCGGTATTACCCCGGGTAAATCCTGAACCTGCCGCCTTGAACCAAATTACTGGATTTGGCACGTATCCATTACAACTTCGGTTGGGCGTCTATATCTGAACAAATTTAGCGTCCGGGCTGATTTGACATAGAGCGGAGTTAAAAAGGGCTTCAGACTAACTTTTATAAAGAGAGAAATAACTCTGCTCACATGCCAAGTTGATTTCTGAGTTCACAGGATGTTTGCCCCGATCCTGGCAGCAATATTCACTAGTTGCAATCAGAGTCGAAGCTACAGTCAGTTGAAGAACTTACTATAAAACCTGCTTTACCACATTTCTGAATCGCAGATTGCAGAACCTTTCAACAAACGGCTTGCGCAAAGTAAAAAGGTGACGTCACGCCTAATTGGAAGTGCCGGCTCCTCGCGAAGCACTGAATAGAAAAATGCCAAATTTCATCGCCAACACCAATGTGAGAGATTGGGACAGTGCGCTAAGCAGATGCAGGAGTGTCATCACGGTCATCGAACGGCGCAATGGTGTTCGATGATAGCAGATTTGGCAAATGCCGTCGGAAACCCTCACGACACTTAAAATGCACGCGGCATTGACAAGAACCCATCTACTGATCTACAGGTCCAATTGTGTTTTAAAAAATACATATATACGAAAAAGCACTCGGAGGCCGGGGGGACCGAGCAGGTCGCCGTTATTGGCATCATTGCTACCCCTTGACTTAAAAACAACTTCAAGTTTCTCAGCTTGCTCTACAAAAGTCACAGACGAATAAGCTGAGCAGGTGGGAGCCAGCGCGGAAGCGCCGGCGACCGCTTGTGCTTATTCTTGGCGTTATCCCAAGTCCCCCCCCCCGGCAACGGGATCTTCAACATATTCCAGCAAACATGGTTCTGATTCTATGCAACCCACACGCCCCGCCGGGAACGGACCATCAAAATGCCAGCGTTAAATGACACTGATCTCTAAGCAACCCACTTTTAGCTCAGCTCCAGGGAGTGGGTGGAACCGCTTGGCAAAGGTGGTCCGATCTCGACGGGAGCGCCCAGCAGTTTTTTCCTTGGTAACTCGGTCTCGATGCTGTACTACTGTGCCTTATAATAGGATAAGTTTTTGCGGCTTAACCTTATACCCCTTTTCTCATGGCGGCGCTGGGCGCGTCTTTCACTGCCCTGGAGTCGAATCTCAGGGTCAGTCGCTTATTCTGGGAAGACGACGACGTCGAAGGATGTGGATTGTTTCACAGGAGAAACGACCAGGTTAGGCGCTGGATTGCGATTAGTAGTCCATTCATCGCTTATTGATCCAAACGGACTTCCAGATTCTGCACGTCCCTGTGAATTTTCTCCGCGTTTTGATAACGCTCCTCATTGCCCCAATCTACTCACCCCCCGTGTCATCCTGCGCTCGATTGCAAACGACCTTCAGCTTCACTGGTTGCTTGAGTTCGCATTCACACCCGAGGCTGTGCTTTCTGTTGCCCCCGACGGAGGTGCCCCTGGGCAGTACGACGTGGCTGGAGCTAAGCCTAAATGGCTATTGAAGGTGGAAATCCGGGGCGGCGCTCTACGAACTCCGAGTGGGGAAGAATGGCCAGAACAGGTCCCGCTCTCGGAGGAGATCGAGGAAGTTGGATATATCGCTTTGAGCTACAGCCTGGACAGCGCAATCGAACTCGCAAACGACCGAGGTGGCGACGAGAACGGCAAAGATTACCAGCATACCAAAGACCGTAAATATTCCCACGTCGAGCGGCGGAAGTTTGCGCGGCTCTTCTTAGAGCTCTATTGCTCTATTTCTCATCCCGACAAACATCCAAACCGCACAGAGTACATATGGCTGGACGAATTCTGTATTTTGGATAAAGATCTGGCGGCTAAAGAGGTGGAACTGAAATCGAGAATTGCGGGAATTAAAGCCCAGCGTCGGACAGAAGTGAGTCGGATGCAATGTGCAGGATAACAAGATGTGAACCCTCTTAACAGGTCCGTCTCTCAGAAGAAAACCCGGCTGCCAAAGAATTCAAGGACCTACGTAACGAAGAGGTTAGTTAGAACCAATTTCAAGTTGTTAAGTAATATTCATGTGATCAAAGCTTCTCCCAACAGCTCGCGAAAATGGCAGATATTTTCGCCGATGCTAAGGAAACGGTCATTTTCTGCCACTTGGACAATTGCGACCACACTGTCTTCAGCTGTTACTGGGGAAACCGCCTGTTTACGCTCGCCGAGGTTCTCAAAGCCAAAACTGTCTGGAGGCTAAAGACTTGGGGACGTGGACCACAGCGAACTAGCAAGATGTTCCGTGTGACTGGCGCTGCATTCAGGCAGGAAATGCAAGCAAACGCTGCTCGGGACGACAGATGGCATCTGTGAGTCTGAAGCGGGTGTTGTCTGTGTGTTCTTACGGTTGTGTTCTCAGCTATTCGATCTTCCAGCAGTATGCCAATTCAGGATCAGTTCCATGGCAGACTGCAATTCACGGATTGGTGGTCGAGGCTATCCGACGCGACGAAGAATCGGACTACCCCAACCATGAATTTTTAGGTGCGGCCTTGAACGGACTTCTTCCGCGGCGCGCGCGACCTGTGGATTGGGGGAAAAATGACTGGCGTGACCTCGCGTGGCTACTAGAGCTTAATCAAGGTTTCTACAACGCCGCCGGCCTCGCCGCCGTGTGCAGCCTCCCAGACAAAGATACCGGCTCGTGGCTCGGAAAGCCCGTTGATCCCTCCGTGGGGTCAGAGCGTCTTGAGCCCGTGGTGACTGCATTTCCGGTGTCCGCCGTCCGAGATCCACCATTGGCGATTATAGGCGGCGAAACAGTTGCTTTCCGCAAAATTTTGCTCAGGCGGGACGCATTCGGGCTTTACACCAACGAAGAAATGCGCCCGATGAAGAATCTCTGCATTTGCATCGCCCTGTTCCTCATCTTCATTGGCATCATTCTTCTCGGCTCTGCCGACTTTCGTGGTGGTTTACTCCTGTGGTATTTCACCGCAGTCTCGTACCGCATGGTCGAGCTTCTGGTGAGCACGATGTACGTGGAACGGGATGGATGGGTATTTCTCCGGGAATCCAAGTGGGGCGAGAAGTTAGAGCTGAAACTCGGCGAACAAGACAGCCACCTTCGGACGTTAAAGCCATGGGGTACGACGTTTATAACGTTTAGTTGACTGAACTCACCCGTGGCTCCAATGTGTGTAGGAAGTAAGCAAATGATTCCCAAATGGTCGGCACCGAGTCAATCATTCAGAGGGAAGCTCCTCGATCTGAAAACCTGCGTGTACACCGAAGCCATCGTAGTAGACGTCCCGAACGCTATTGTGCCGCTGGCGGTCCACGGCAGCGGTGTAACGTGCATGCTTCTGGAGCGTGGCGAAGACCAAGATAAGAAATCAAATTTAATTGCGCGGAAAGTCGGGATGTGCAACCTACCGCCGTATATCTTTGCGCAGGCCGTCAAGTGCGGTACCGTCCACGTTGGTCCGATCCCGATCCCGCCAAAATGCTGACATAACGGGGGGTAAGTTCTGGAGTCCACGATTATTTACGCGTGCATGCTCAAATAATTATACAATTAGATTCTTCTTTTTCCTGAAACGGTTAAATTTCAAACAGCCCACTCCTTACATAAATAGTCGCTCACTGAAGGCCAATCCTTGAACTCTACTTGATAGTATCAATTTGATACCCACATACGCCTGTCCTTAAGTGTTTATCTACCATTGATGCCCCCAAAAATCAGGACTTCATTGCCATTATCTTACAAGGGTCACCCGACCTGAATATTCTCTTATCCGTTTTAGATTCTCTACCCCAATACAAAAATCTCGGCCCCCTACACCGCCATTCCATGATACACCTTCCAAAAACGAATCGGGAGCTCTCAATCAGATCTATCGAATAGGGGTGCTCGATTAGGTTTATTTCCGAACCTGGCACATTTTTTATGTAGAAAGAAAGGTCAAACTGACGGCGATAAGATGTCCCATGTATATCAGACAAAGACATAACAAACTGCAGTGAGCAATAGTCATCTTCGTTGTCTGGTGTGACGCCACTGACTTCTGAGTAATTAGAAGTAAGACGGAACACTAGAATCTTGAGTTGTTGACTTGTCGAGCTACGACTCGGATTGCGTAGGTAAGTGGTCGTATTCAAGATTCTCCTAGCCCACTATACTGCTCCAAGACTGCGGCGCAGTCTGTACGCGTAATGTACGCGCGTACACTCGTAATCAGTACGCATAATGTACGCGTACCCGAGTAATTGATGACCTAAACAATATTCCGTTACATCTGGCGGCTTCATCGTTGACGCGTTGACGGGCACTACTAGTGACAACAGGCTTGAGAAATCAAAGTCAATCCATCACTTATCTAGTAATGTTGAGTGCCCCGGCCGAGCCCATATCTTACTTACAGCCTTATACTGTTATGATATAAATAAGTATGTACTAAGCAAAATATCACCAATACCTTGGGAACGCTCAGTGCTCGCCGCGTGGAGCGACAGGCTGGTCCTTCGCCATCGGCGCTTGTCCCCGCCCCTGCCTACGTGCGCCATCCGCACAGCGCGCTCCCGCGTGCATGCACCAGCTCCGGGCTCCTCGGCCCACCGCACGAGTTGGGGGTCTGCTGGAGTCCTGCTCACAGATTTTATGTCTGTCAAATCGATGAAATTGCCCGTCCCCCATCGAATTACCGCTCGCCGCGGCTCGTATGTCGATCTTCAGCCTTTGAGTCACACTTGTCCTGATTGTATTGGACGCCGCCGCGATGACTCCGAGTCGGAGAACGGCCCGCCGGCGCTCACGCTCGCGCCGCCCGCAATGTGCACGGACGCGGCGCTGTCGGGGTCCGACGGCGCTGACCTTTGCGTTAGTGTTGGCTCGCGTCCAGATCTACGGGCCGTCCCGGATCTTCCCCTCCGTGAGGTCG